TGGTGGAAATCTCTAAAGAAGAGTACTACTTCACGACACAAGAATCTGATATAAAATTCAAATTTCAGTGTCCGTACATAAAGTCGGGTTGGAACCAGCTACACCCACTCACTCATGTATTGTTTACGCTGTTGTGCTACAGACAGATGCAGAGGTGAACAGTTGCGACAGACCAAATGGACTGGGAGCCTAAACTATTTACTGCCTGGTCCTTTATGGAAAAAGTGCGCCGAGCCCGCCCCAGGCAGTCTGGCCCCGGAATCTGGGCGCCTCACCATCACACACTCCTGCCCTATGCAAAGGTCAAGAGAGACACACAGTGAGAAGGGGGTCATGACTTGCAGGTACAGAATGCAGGCTCGCGATCTGTGGGTTTGCAAGGCTGGAGGTGCACTTGCAGAGAGCATGGTTAAATGATAAATGATAGCCAGGAAGTAACAGATTACGGGGTTGGAGAGGGGCATGTGTGGGGGGGTGGGTGTGCTGACAGCAAAACCCAGCTGTGAAAACCCAGCTGGGAACAAAAAGAAACTCCATAGGGCTCTGGAGTTATTTTTCCTACATCTCAGAAGCGGCCCTGGGCAGTCCCTTATTGCTTCTAGAGGCTCAGATTTTGAGGAGGGGTAAAGCCCATGATAAGCGCATTTATAACAAAGCCTTTTCCCATGTCCCTAAAGGCCGTCCTTGCTTTATTGACAGGGTTTGGTATCGTTGAGGATGTGTCTCCCAGCCTCATCGACTCCCAGCTACAGGGGTGCATTGGTCAAGATCCCCAGCAGCTAGTCTCTGAAACTGACATCGCCTGAAACTGACAGGATCACCTGTCACCTGTTGGTCCCTCCTTAGGCTGCATGTGCAGCCCTGGACCCTTCCAATGAGCCTTCCTTCCTCTCCTTCACTTGGGGTCAGACTGTTTTTGAGGTCCGATGGTTCTCCCAGCCTTATCTGACTTCCTTCCCAGGTTCTCTGACACAGGTGTTTCCTCTAATAAAAATCCTCGTTCCTTTAATCTCACCTTGGGGTTGGTGCTTTTTGGAAGAAACGAACTAATCCATAGAGTTACATCAAGTCCTACTTTAAATCACCCCACACAAACAGTGCAAGCTCTGGTTCCTCTTCGTATCAGCCATCCCCCTCCCATTAATTAAAAAAATTTAAATTGAAGTTACGCAGGTACAGTTTAAAAGCTAAATAATTCTGCACAGCTTATGATGAAACATAGATGCTCTGCTGTTCTACCTCTCCAATCTGTTTCCAGCTCCCCAGAGGTAAACACTCGCAACTCTTTAAGTGTTTCTTTTGCTGTTTATTCTCCTGTTTCTAAATAATACACGCTCCTTGAGTTAGCCTTTTCCTCATTGACCATCTCTCCTGGACAGCAGAAGAAAGAGGAACCATCCCCTGCTGGTGGTTTGCTCGGCGGGAAGAAGACCCCTCTGGGAGAAGTCTGTTTCGTCTTCCCAGGTGGGATTTGGAGCTGAGCAAGCTGAGTAAGGCTTTGCAGTAGCTGGGGGAAGGCAAGCCCTTGGTGTCTAAGCAAGGGTGGTAGAAGCTGTGTTTGTTTGGTTCACTTTACCATCAGATGCTTCCTTGAACTTAAAGTCCTAACTACTGCTTCTTTGTATCAGAAAAGGTTTCTCTGTAACACAGGGCACCGTGGGATTCTCTGTGTCTCTTTCTTCTAAGCATTGGCTAATGTGGAACTAATGGAAGCTTAAGGGTTCCAAAGGAAGGAGAAATAGCCATTTCTACTGTGGCCAAAGAACTTAGATTCAATGAGGTCGCTCATTCTGTGAGGCCTTAGAATAAGGGGGGTTGGTTAGGAACAGCCCCACTGGACTAACCAGCGTGGCACTCCTTGCTCGAGGCTGCCATCTGCTGGAAAGCTGTTGTAATAACCACACAACTCTCCCCTGAGTTTGTGGTAGGAGGCCAGGGACCCACCTTGCTGAGGACCAGCAGACGCTGCTTCTCTTTCTCACTGGTGGCCAGGGAGGCAAACTGCTGCAGCTGCAGTGGCGTCGGGGGCGTGGTGATGTCCAAGTAGTACTTGAAGGCCTGGAAGATGGTGCAGGGCGGGAGGCGGAGCTCGTCCGTCCAGTTACTGATAACGCCTGTGGAGGCACACTGGAGGTTACAGGAGGGTTGGGGGAGGAGAGTCTGAGCTCTGAGGGGCTGGGAGAGAGCCAAACAACCCCTCAGCTCTCCATCTTCCATATCCCACACCTATACGCAGGGTCCTGGGTACTGCGTGATCATCTTACGTGTGCAAGGAGCAGATATCCAAGACCAATTGAGCAACCTAGTCTAAAAATTAACACATAAACAAATATGAAAACAGCATGCGACAGTCCCCTGGCATTCTACACAGTGAGCCACCATCTGAGCGTGAGCTCTGCATCTATTTTGGCTCTGTCTGTCCTCTCATGGTGTCAGCCTCAGTCCTTTGAGTGGGATTCCAGTGTTTAAAATTACAAACGTGGTTAGCACTTATCTGGTACTTTCTACTTGGAAAGTACTATTCTCAGCACTTTATATTCTTAACTCATATAATCCTTCTCATCTCCCCAAACTCACCACGATCTTAGGTGGTAGGTGCTATTATCATCTGCATTTTGCAACTGAGGAAAATGGAAGCACAGAGAGGTTAAGGAATTTGCCCAAGGTTGCACAGCCCATAAGCGCGGAGTCAGGCAGTCTGGCTCTACACCTTGTGCTAACGACTCCGCTGTGCTGCCCCTGTGTACTTTTCATCCCGCATAAGCCCTAAACACAAGCCTCTCCTTCATCAGGGACTCAACCCAAGATAAAAATGCACAGTTCCAACATGGAGTGAGAACCGGCTGGGTTGGATTTATTACGAGGTGTGTCTCTCCAGAATGGTACCCTCCTAAGGGATTTTCAAGAGGGCTCTGACGACACACTGTTTTCACATTCTGCCCTGACCTTATATCCTAGCTCCTTTGTAAAGGTGATATGTCACTGTACCATGGGCTGCCATGCAAGGTCACTGCCGTTCCTTGTACCTGAGCCCTGAGGTCACCCGCACTTACTGAGATGACCCATCTGCACTGAGACCCATTTGCCTTTGAAAGTTCTTCAAAGGGAATGTCAAGAATGGTCCCTGAAACAGGTCGGAACTTGACAGGATGAGGTCAGAAATGTGTGGTTCAATTCCTGGTTGACCACCGGGCTTTGTGTAGTGCCTTCCGACTCTCAGAGGAGGCAGGGTCAAGTTCAGTGGCTATTTACTCAGTGTGCAGTGGGGTGGCAACGACAAAGGAAGGGAGCTTCTAGCTGATGAAGGCAGGTAGAGCCCCTTCCCTGCGATGAACCATGGATGTCCGGGCACCATGGAGAGCCAGCGAGCCAGGGTCATTCAGCCAAGAGGAATGGGGAGTGTTACGTCTCTTAAGCCAGAGGTGACAGAGCTCTCCATTCTCTTACCTGGATTGGTGACTGGGAAGAAGAATGGGTCTCCTCTTCCCCAGACACCCACTGCCTCTGGAACTCTCTAGAGAAGGGAAGGGGCCTTGGGAGGTGCCAGAGTGGGGTGCCCAGTGTGCCGTAATTACCCAAAGCTGTGGTCCGCTCCTCCAGCAGCTCCACCTTCACCAGCTGGTTGACAGGGGGCGCGTCCTCCAGCCGCTCGATCAAGGCGTTCACGAGGTCCTCGTGATTGCCAGGGAAGACACCCAGGTGGTCCCCAGGCTGGTACTGCAGCTCCTGATTCCCATTGGTGTGGAGACGCACGAAGATGGTGGATCGGCTAGAGGGAAGGACAGGGGAATGATCGGATAAGGGCCATCAGCCTCTGTCCCCTTTCTTGGCTCCTTTGTCTGTCCTGTGGCTGCAAGTTCCCTCCTTCCATTCTCCTTGGGGCCCACGGTGACCAGACTTCCGTCTCCACCATCCACACCATAGCTTTTAGCAATGAGCTTGCTTCTCATTGGAGACCCAACATCCAGTTCCCAGGACTCATCGAGATCGTGGATGTAGCCCTGGACGTGGCTGCTAATTTCCTTCTCCTCGTGGATTCTGGCATGCTGGGCTCGCCTGGTCATCCCTCTGGCTGTCCCTGGCTCAGCCTCCTTTGCTGGTTCCTTCTCATCGCCCTTAATTCTGGGCATGGGAGACCCCTAGGGTCCAGCCCTCAGACCTCTTGGCTTTTCTCTCTTCCTTGCTTCCCTTTTCTCCACAGCAGGCACCATCATCTGACCAGCTGCTTTGTTAGCTAGTCTGTGGTCTGTCTCCCCTGCCTTCCCCACCCTGGTCCCCAGACAACATAAACTCTAGAGGGCAGAGAGCTTGTCTGTTTTGTCCGCTGCTCTATTCCTGGCACCTAGGACAGTGCACGGCACATAGTAGGTGCTCAGGAAATGTTTGTTGATTGAAGGAGCCTCAGTCTCCTGGCTGCTGGAACAGGCTCTGCTCTCCGTACCAATCACGATTGTCTCGGGAATCATCCCCCCATTGGAGTCAGGGATGTCCCCAATTGGTGAAATTCCACCTCTCCTAGCTCCACAGCCTTTTGCAAGCGGGGTCTTCATATTTTCATGGAAAAGAGAAAAGGACTTGGCCTTAAGCTTGGGTTTCTGTCATACACAAACGCACCAACCGTGTACAGTTGAGAGGCCTGAGGACGCAATCCCCCCAGGAGCTTATTAACGCCTGCCAGGTCATGCCCTTTTGCCTTGACTTTTGTATTCCGAGTGCAGGAGGCCTGTGCTAAGCGAACGGCTTCCAGAATGAATTCTCAGACTATGGTTATTCCGGTCCTTTCAAAAGTTTTCGTACAGCCACTGCGTTTCACACAATACCTGAGCACGCTGGGTTTGATTCCGCTCTGGTAAATCAAATCTTTTGTACACTTCGGGTTCCGTTTGCACTTCAGATCTGCCTTTGCTTCACTGCCAACTGGTTTTCGGCTGATAGACACTTGATATTTAACATGAAGTTTCTACATTTTCCGTGGCACGTAAATAACACTGGACTAGACCAACGGGACTCATAATTTAAGAGAGTTGTTGGCACAACCAAGAGCCCTTTTGAGATGAAAATAGCCACCGTTATTAAAAAGAACTGTGCTGGCATATTTGCTTTTTGGGGTGTCGAGTGTTTTCCTGAAGCAAGGCTCTCTCGTCCTTAATATGGTGGGGAACTTGGTGACTGAAATTGTGAGTGGGGGGTGTTAGGGTCTGGAATCTTACTCTCCTTCCTTGGGCAGATTTTGTCTTCTCTGGGGTACTAATTTTATCAATTATGTGGACTTGCCAGACCGATTCTGCTCTGAGCTCACACCAATCTCGGTTCCTGGAGAGCAGACATCATCGCCCCCTGCTGGCTCCAGGAAGGGCATGAGAGGAGGCCGACAGCCAGCAGGGGGCGCTGTGGGGCTGCTCATTTGGGAGCCTCCTGCGCCAACCACAGGAAGCCTTTGGAAGGGCCCGCCAATCAATTCTCACTTTCTCCAAGATCATCACGATTCCTTTCAGAAGAATATTTTGCCTCTACTCTTTTGGCCAGTACAAAATAGAAATGCAGAGGACCCGGACTTGCTGAGCTGGCTCACGTTCCCAGCCACTTCCCCCAAGTCCTCTCGAACATGGCAGAAGGTGGTCAGGCAGATAAGGGGCGGGAACGAGGGTGTACCTGGCAGGTTAGCTAGAAGGTGGGTCCTGGCTCTGCCTGTGCTACGAATTCAGCCAAGGGGACTTTGCAAGCCACTGACCAAATATAGCTCTCTGAGAACCCCGGCAATGAATGGCTGCATGATCCCGGGGTACCTGCATGGTACCTGGATGGGTTGGTCTTTCAGCTTTGCAAGAAGCTGTATCCTGGTGGGCAGCACTACCCTGGAGCCTGACTGTCCTAAATCTCAGTTCTGTTGGGGGTTTCTAAGCATAGAAACATTCTCTCTCTGTCTCCGTCTCTTTCTCTCACTGTAAAGCTTGGGACACAAATGGATTATTGAAAGTATTAAGGGAGGAAGAAAGGGCAGTCTTGGGGATAGAGCAGCCATTTGGGGCTTCTCCACTGCTCCCTGCTTGCGATGTATTTATATCCGCTCACAGAAGCATAACACACACACACGTGTGTGCGTGCACTTGGCAGTGGTTCAATGACAGGTTCGCAGATGAAAGAACAGTCTGCTAACGTCCATCATTAAATGAAAAAAAAAAAAGAGCTAATGTTCATTCTTTGAAGAAGAGGGTAAACATGGTCTGTCATGAGCAGTTTGAGTTCATAAAGTTCATTCATTCAACGAATTTATATTGGGTATCAGGCACTGTTCTAGGGTGAGAGAGTGATGGATAAAGACAACAAAGTGCCCCATTCTCATTGAGAAGTAACTTACAAAGATCTCAGACAGGGTCTACGGCCATGCCACCCTGAACAAGCCCGATCCCGTCTGATCTCAGAAGCTAAGCA